ATAAATTTGGCATCTCTTTCGGTAATTGTTGTTACATTATACATTCCCCCTAATGTAAACGCACAAATATATGAGCTATTTTTTAATGCAATTTCTGCTATGTCTTGTTTTTTAAATGATGATAATTTAATAATTTTAGGTGATTTCAATATCCCTTCTTACAAAAATTATGTGACATCACGAGAAATTAACAATGGTTGTCTTAATTCCCTTGTTAATTTTTGTGATTTTTTTGGCATCACCCAATATAATAATGTCTTGAATAGGAACAATAGGCTTTTAGACTTGGTACTGTAGATCAGCGTTTCTCAAAGTGGTGGTCCGCGGGCCGGCGCCGGTCCGTGTGCAAAATGTTGCCGGTCCGAGAGCCGGGTCTACGCACGCGCCCCCCACAATACTTCTCTAAGCCCGCAGCTGAATGCAGAAGTGCAGTGTGCAATGAAATGGGAGCTGATCATAAGAAACTTATTACATGCTGAAGTGCGTTGGTTATCAAGGGGGAAAGTCTTATCAAGAGTATTCAAGCTTCGCAACGAACTGGTGCAGTTTCTTCAAAGCAAAAAAACAAATTTGGCGCAACTTTTCCTCGACGTAAATGGGTGGTCATGCTTGCCTATTTAGCTGATATTTTTTCCATCTTGAATGATCTCAACGTTTCTATGCAAGGACCGATGACTGCCAGTTTCACTATTGCAGACAAGATTGCTGCAAAGAAACGAAAACTAGAAGCATGGAAAAATCAAAAATCAAAATATCAAGAAGTTGTTATGATATGATTCACAACTTATCGGCATTCATTGACAATGCAGGAGAAGAACTTGATATTACATCTCTAAAAAAGGTTATCAGCGACCACTTGACTAACCTGACAGAACGTTTCGAGTTTTATTTCCCAACAGAAGAAGATCCGCATAAAGAAAATGCATGGGTGCGTAATCCATTCGTTCCATTTATAGGTGACTTATCTGTCATTATAGAAAATAAATTGTTGGAGCTCGCTGCTGATGAAGGACTGAAGGTTAATTTCGAAAATATATCACTCGCATTTTTTTGGTGAAAAGCAAGACAAGAATATCCCGAGCTCTCCGATAATGCTTTGAAAAAACTTCTTCCTTTCGTCACCACTTACCTCTGTGAGATTGGCTTTTCAACAATGAGTGTAATAAAAACAAAGTATAGGAATAACATGAATATTCATCCCCCATTTCGAGTGGCGTTATCATCAATTGAACCACGATTAGAGAAACTAACCAAGAATAAGCAAGCCCATTTATCACATTAAGGCAATGTTGTGCGATTCTGGCTGAACTGTTTATGTTTATATGTAGTTTCTTTCCAAATTTATGAATAAAATCCTTGCGTTTCGTTATTGTTTTTTTTAATAAAGTGAAAAAACTGGACCTTGATAAAATTGTAGCGGTCCGTCATACATTAGTAAAATTTTTACTGGCCCGTCACACTAAAAAGTTTGAGAAGCGCTGCTGTAGATTGCATATAACTGTCAATAAATCTGAAAATTATCTAATTACTGAGGATGCACATCATCCTCCATTAGATCTATCTTTTGTTTATAATTTTAAACAAAGAGTATGTAATAACCAAGCATATCCCTCCTTCAATTTCAAAAAAGCTAACTTTAATGCACTATATCATGATCTATCTAGTATTGATTGGTCTTATTTATCTGATTACACAGATGTAAATGAGGTATGTTCTGAGTTTTAGGAAAAATTACATACAATTTTCCTTCAAAGTGTTCCCCAAACAATCAGAAGAAAATCAACGTATCCTCCGTGGTTTAACAGAACCATAATAAATAACATTACATTAAAATCGCGACTGTGGCGTCAGTTTAAGACCACAGGAAATATAACTTGTCTTGATGAATTCAGAGCTTTACGTTCGCAGATTAAAAGGGATATTGATATTGCACAAAGAATATGTTTTAAATGCGGAATCGCATATTAAATCTAATCCTGGTAATTTTTGGTCTTTTTACATAACTTAAAAAACACCTCAAGTATACCTAACTCAATGAATTATCATAATAGGGCTATTAATGATACAGATGGTATAGTACATGCATTTGCTCACTTTTTTCAGTCTGCGTTTATTCGTTCATCTGTGTTTGATGAATCTAAGCCAGATTTTATACACAACAATGTGTCATCACTTAATATACCAGAGATTTCAGAGCAAAATGTCTATAAGGTACTTAAAAGTTTCAAAAATAAATTAACAACGGGTCCTGACGTAATTCCAGCTTTTTTACTAAATGTGCACCTATACTTGCATTACCACTTAGCAATATTTTTAATTTATCTTTTAAATCTGTCACTTTTCCTGATATTTGGAAAAAGTCAAAAATATGTCCCATTTTCAAAACAGGAGACAGAATGAACATTGAAAATTATAGACCGATAGTTATTCTATGTAACTTTGGAAAACTGTTCCAAATGGTTATTTATGATATCCTTTGCTTCCATTCAAAAGCGCATATCTTATTCACAACATGGTTTTATTTCTGGAAGATCAACAACAACAAATCTTGTTACTATCACTAACTTCATAGCTAATTCTTTGGATAAGAATGGGCAAACGGATGTTATATTTACAGATTTATCGAAAGCCTTTGACAAACTTGATCATGGGCTATTGTTACATAAATTATCAAACTTGGGATTAACAACAAATTTTCTTAGTTTTTTTAATTCTTATTTAAGCAATAGAACTTTCAATGTTCAATATCGGAGCTATAAATCAATTGACGTGTTGGCGACATCTGGAGTTCCGCAGGCTTCAGTACTTGGGCCTCTCTTATCTATTATATTTATAAATGATATATTTAAAGACATTCAGACACATACCCTGTTTCTACCCTTAAATTACTCTTTAATGCATTTGTCAGGCCGAAGTTAGAATACGCTTCCATTATCTGGAATCCTCAATATGAGGTTCACATTTCTAACTTGGAGAAGGTTCAGAGGATACATCATACTTTTTCTGTATAAACTGTTGTCCTCGTAAATAGATTGCCCTGACATTTTGAGTAGTATTTACTTTAATATTCCTGGTGTTTGAACTCGCTCAAATGTATTATTTTATTTGTCAACTACGAGAACAAATGTTCTTAAACATTCTCCAATTTATCAAATGTGTACATATTATGTAAATGATTATAGTACCAAATTTGATATTTTAAACTGTACTGTCAGTAATATAAGACGTTGTATTTTAAATTTAGATTTATAACCTGACCATCACTTTATATGTTTAAACTATTTTGTGTTCACTTTGTAGTTATGTAATTAAGCTTGTATTTTCGAATCTATTTTTCATGTATTATGCTTTTTTATGTAATCGTTTATTGTTTCTCCTGCCCTTTAATTGGATTTGTATCAGTCTGGGCAGCTGTACTTTAAATAAAAATAAATAAATAAATAATACAGACATCTGATTGTATAATTTTCTGCTCTATCCATTTCTGGTGTCAGAAATATATCTATCATATCTAAAAATCTAAGTTGACCTTCAAATGACCTCTAAGATTGACCTTTGGGTCGAGGTAATCATCTCAGGACTCTACAATTTTTGTATAATTTTTCTTGAAAGTGCTTCCTAAGAAGATATTGCAATGCATTATTTATAATGGGATACCCTGTATAACTTTGATATTTCAATATACAGGCTGAGTCGAGGCTATGGTAAAGCTTTTTTATCACTAGAATACAGAGTGTAAGAAGTTTGACTGCCATTACTTCAGCATCAGATAGTCATAAATGAACAAAAAAAGTTATATATTACGGGGGGAGGGGGGGGGGGGTGGGTAAGATTAACAGTTTTCAAAATACTGCGAGTATTAATATTGGGGAGTTTCATCACAATGTGACAACAGCGCTGAACACTACGCAGTTGATGCAGACCACGTGTGCACGCGGCAGACTTATCCTAGGATAACAAAAATGTAAACAACTATTAATTGTGAAAACATTTACAATTAGTAAATTTCAAGACAAATTGTTTTCCACTTTTTAAATAAATAAAATAAAATGTATCGATTTTGTAGTACGAAGATAATGTTGTGATAAATTTTAGCTCGAATTTTAGTAATTATGAATCTCTTAAAACAGGAACTTAACTTTTAATCAAATTATGAATTTTAAAAATATGTAATTATGCGTATTGCTGGTTGCTCGACTGCTTAGTACCTTGTGTTAATTGTCGTGCCGTTGTCACATTGCTCGATATGAATTTCATCAAATTTTAAATTTATTACAACACTAATTATTTTTTAGAATTAAGCATAAAGAAGTTCAAAAAAGTAATAACATTGTATTTTATAGTATTCTATGCACGCAGTTCTGTCCATATGGAGATTTTGATAATTTTTTCTCGGAAATGGTCGAGTTTAAGATCCATGTCATATAAGGCTATTTTTGTTTATTTTAATGTATTCTATCGTCTGTTAAAATTAAGGCAATGCAACTTCTAACACCCTGTGTATTTGAGGCAAAATTTCAAAATAGGTTTGTGTGTGGGAGGGGGGGACAAGAAATGCACATTTTAAAAATAATTTTACTTATACAGGGTGATTCGTTTTCGGAGGGCCGACCAAAGTTGTATTTTTTTAAATGGAACATCCTGTATTTGAGTGAATATTTATATTTTACATGGAATTATGCAACTTTTTCGTAATATTCTAGCGATAAATCAACTTTTACAGTGTTGACTCACCCGGTACATACATTATGTGGGTATGTGTACGTGTGAGTGTGTGATTGTGCGCATCCATATATGCATACAGCAGCATTGGGTTATAGCCACACGTACTCAAAGCTTATTTTCGAAGAGCTATATCTCGAAAGGATGAATTTTTGGGACTTAACGACCATTGAAACTTTTGATCTACACATCAAGTACTACCAGATTCCAAAATTTCAGCAAGTTTGACCGAAAGCCATTCCCCATAAGGATCCTGCGGGGTCCTTTACTACCCTTACTTATTTAATATGGCCTGCCATTCTCCTTGACTTTCAGGTACAGGAAAATCATTAATTTCAAGCCTTGTTCGAGATCTTAATTCTTTCATCATATCTTCTATATCAAACATAAAGGGTTCTTGTCCAAAATTTGCATCTACTACTTCTCCTGGTGTTTGTAGGCCCACTGTAGGATATAAGTTAGGCTAAAACAAAATTAATGTATCTAATAACTGCTGTAGACAAGAAAACGTTTCCAATATAAAGTATTGAAAGGAAATTATACATATTAAAATCGGGCTTTAGGTAGCGGTGCCTTTTAGCCCCACCCAAATTAAAACGAGCTTATAAGTAGAAAAAAAAAATTATATGTTCCAAATAATATTGATATAATAATAATAAAATTATATTTTCTACAATTCGGGTTTTCTACTATTTCAAGTTTTTTTTATCATTGAGCAGATAGCAAAATTTAGAGCCCCACAAAAAAAAAATTCTGTGCATAGTACTAGACCACTATGTTTTCGAGTTCGCTGAGTCCGAATCCAAGGTCCGTTTGACTTTGTTAGGTCAGGTTAAAGGTCATTTCAAGGTCAAACCGAGAAAAATTCCCCTATGGTTATTATACAGTGTCGGAAAGTCCCCATGGTTCATCGGCCGTAACGTGAGAACGATAAAGAAAGTCATAGAAATCCGTGCGATAGAGAAAGATGGCTATAATGAAGGCGTCTAATAGTCACCGCCCATTTCGCCCTTCCACAAATAAGATCCACTTCTTATTTCATGGCCTTCATTATAGCCATCTTTCTCTATCGCACGGATTTCTATGACTTACTTTATCGCTCTCACATAACAGCAGATGAACCATGGGGACTTTCCGACCCTGTATGTTTTTGGGGTTACCGAGTTAGAATCGGAGGTCCGTTTGACTATGTTAGGTCAGATTCAAGGTCGTTATAAGGTCAAATCGAGAAAAATTCACTATATTGGGTTAACCGTAGTTATTATATACTATTTTTCATGTTTTAATATTAGAGTAAAATTCGTTTAATGATAAACATAGCACTAAAACTTATTTACCACAACAACCTTTATTACTAATATTACTATATTGTTGACATGTACCATATAAAGCACTCAACTGTCTACTAAAATTCTCCCTCAACTTCAAGCATGGCAACTATCCGGAACCTTTCTTACCGGGAAGGATGAAAGTGTTAGTAGTAACCAATAATGCTGTATAAAATTATAGTGTCGTATTTTCAAATGTGATTGAAAAAACTCATGCTAATGTGAAGGCTCATGAATGTTGAGTCTTTCAATCCATTATAAATGAGCGAGGCAAAAATTGCTTTCTAAGACAAGCCAACAAGATCAAATGGAGTCTTAATAAAGCGACAAAAAAAACCTGTAGTATTCCCACTAAAGCCTATTTAGAAGTTACTCAGTTTAACCTCAGTGACATTGATCTTGACCCGGTAGAGACAAAAGGAACTCTAATTTGGACTCAGTGACTTGAAGAAAAAACATTTAATTACTTTGGTTGCCTATAGTGGATTTTTCTTTGTTTGATCTTGGAATGACCGTATAATGACCTTGAATCTGACCTAACAAGGCTAAACAGACCTCGAATTCAGACTCAGCGACTCCAAAAACATATAATAACCATGGTTGCCCTCGGTTTTACCTTGAAATGACCTTAAACCTGACCTGACAAGGTCAAACGGACCAAGGTTCGGACTCAGCGATCTTGAAAACATAAGGATATAGTGATTCAGTCCGATGCACAGATGTGGGGCTGTGTTATTTTACTATTTGTACAGACCCTTCATAAAAGTTGACAAGCCACGTGACCGCTGAGCTTGGGCAACTCAACATTGCACGACTGGTATTGGGTAACAAAAAATCCCTAAATCTTTACGTCACCAATATTAATAATTCGTTTACAATGAACAGTAAGAAACCATTACACCTACGATCAAAATAATGCGATCGCTGATTAGTAGAACTTCGTAAAAAATTACATCAATTACAGCCAGTGAAACAGAATATTGTGTTGCAATGTAATCTTTATCTTAATGTTTTAACAATTTTTAATTTTACAGAAATTTAATTGCCAACATGAAGAAAATAAAATTGCCGTTCCAACCAAAATTACTCGTCATATGGCTTGTAATCTTTTATGAAGGTTCTGTATTACTGTTATTGTTTATTGCATAATTATGTAATTAAACACTATTAAAAAAAATAAACCAATTACCTATAATATATGATTTACCTTTAAAGAGGGCGTTTTTATGCGTCATTTTCGATGAATAAATATATTATTATTATTATATTATTAGGTATATTATTATTTTTACAAAATTTTCGATAAAACAGGAAAGGTATATTCTGATGTTTACATGGGTGTCCATGTTTTCAGTGATATTTCACTGCGAAAAATTAAAGGAATCCTTGTATTTAAACATTTTTATAGTTTAATGCAGGGGTCGGCAACCTTTTTTGGCTGCGAGTTAAAATCAACCACAGTGTGAATATTAAAGGGACGTTTGGGTCAGTGATATTTTCATTTTAAAACAGTCTTTTCGTGAATAATAAGATACATTTTATTAAGAAAATAATTACGATACACTTTTAAACTTTAATTATTATTATAAAAACTAATAAAATTCTAATTATTATAAAAAGAAACATTTAGCAGTTACCTAAGTGAAATAATAATTATTATTTTAAAAAAAAATTGCCATGAACAAACAAAAAGCAAAAAAGAGGTTATATCAAGATTGACGTGCGCGCAAAAACAAAGCATCTATTTTCAATTTTTTTTATTCTCAAAATATTCGTTTCATGTTTATGTTTTATAATTTATTTTTATATATTATACTTTTTTTAGGAAATAAAGTAAGTCACTTGAAATTAGTAAATGGGTCACTCAATGACCCGCGGGTCATAGGTTGCCGACCCCTGGTTTAATGGATTTTCTTGTTCTATCGTCTTCTTGAGATATAGATGTTATCAACTGAAAATTATGATTTTAATTTAGTCAGACTAGGATATACATCTGTATGCGGCAGTTTTAAGCCACTCAGTTTCTAGACAGTATTGATTTAAATATATATATA